CAATTCCGCTTTTTCAGGGTCTCTAGTTGCTAGTGACGTGGCGTTAACTATATCATTTATACCCTCCTTGTTTTTCAACTTCTCAAATCACTCCCCATCACTTTCTTTATTTATTTTATTTTTTAAATTAGTGGTTGATGTGCAAATTTTAAAAAATTTATGCCAATTAGATAAAATATTAAAAATTAGTTTTCAATCTTTTTAAATTAGTGAAAGATTGGAGATCAATTTTTAATTATAATATGTGAAATATTTATTTTAAGGTTAAATTAATAAAAATACTCTAAAATTTTAAAATTTTTAATAATACTCTTAAAATTAAAAAAAAATACCCTAAAATTTTAAAAATTCAAAAATATATTTACATTAATTTTAAATGAAAAGTATTAATATTTTATTTTAAATATACTCTCTTCTCTTTAAAATATTTGTTTGGATTTTTTAAAATTTTATTAGTACTCCTACTTTAAAAAAATTTATTAAAATTTTTTTAAAAAATAATTGTACAGTTGGTAATGCATTTCTCAAAAATACTCAGTAACTTTCAAAAGGTAATATTAAAAAATTTAGAGATTATCTATGAAGTGTCGATAGACTATTTTCGTTCAATGTTAACAGCAAAAATTTTATAGATTTTTTTTATTAATGTAAGGGACGTTGATGCTACCTTTAAAATATAATAGATATTTTTTAATTTTTTTAAAAAATTCGATATTAATGAGACTTTTCAAAAGTTTAAAAGTAATTTTTTTAAAAAAAATTTAATATTTAATTTAAAAGTATTAAATCGATTATGGGCCAATAGAAGGGCCCAAACTTCACGTGAATTTGGTATAGGAAGGCGACGGACACGTGCAATTGATTACACTTTGAAAATAGATGGGAATGGACACGTGCGTGCACATCGTTGACTGTTTTACTCCGGTGGCCCCACCCACACGTGGCAAATATCAAGGATTTGTTTTCTTGCCGGGTCTTCTACCCGGCCTTGCTCGGCCCAGTTAGGGCCCATATTTCTGCTCATCCACAGTTTCAAATCCCATCCACATAATATTTTTTTTATATATTATATAAACAAATCTAAACATATCTTTAAATTATGATTTTAAATAATATCATCATCTTAATATTATTACTTAAATGTTGAATTTGACGTATTGATTAACGAACGAATGATGATTTGACACGATACATATTTCAACGAGTGGTGGCACAATGAAGATGATGGATGAATGAGCAAGTAGTTAATCTATTAGGGTTGTACACGGGTTGGATTGGACAAATCTTCTGGACCAACCTAAAATTTCACGTTGGTTGGATTGGTGACCTAGAGATTTGAATAAAGTTCACAACTCAACCAAACCCGGCTCGATGGTTTGGTCGGATAATTGGGTTATTCATAATGTATGTTACATTAACAACTAAAATCCCAAACGTCAAATATTCACAAGTAACAACGAATCCCTATCATCAGTAACAAAAGTCAAATATTTTTAATTTTTCATAATAATCTTAAAAATAGAGTTGGGTTTGGTTATAATCATCTTTTTCGAGTTGGTTGAGTCAACCTGACCAAAAAAATATTGATCTATGAACCAACTCGAATTTTCGGTTTTCAAAAAAATCAGCCTAACCCAAATAAAAAAAAAAAAATTAACCCAACTCAACTTTTATGGTTTGGGTTGAGTAGTTTAGGTTTAGTAGGGTTCTCGGGTTATATGAATAGTCATATCTAATACGAGCAAGAAATGAATCAATTTGGCTTGCTCACGTGTATTATTTTATTCAGTTGATATGCTCGTTTGTGTTCCACCGAGTAGAATAACCACTAATTAGTCAAAATAGTAGTTAGAATAATATTTCTCGACCTCTTAAAAAAGTTGTTTTCGTAGGGGAATAATTGGAATTTACGTCTAAATGCTCGCTTTTGGCATAGCGGGGCCTAGCGGGAGGCCTGCACGATGAGCTATTAGCTCAGTGGTAGAGCGCGCCCCTGATAATTGCTTCGTTGTGCCTGGGCTGTGAGGGCTCTCAGCCACATGGATAGTTCAATGCGCTCATCAGCGCCTGACCCCGAGATATAGATCATCCAAGGCACATTAGCATGGCGTACTTCTCCTATTTGAACCGGGGTTTGAAACCAAACTTCTCCTCAGAAGGATAGATAGGTCGATTAAGATGAAATCTAATGTAGATCCAACTTTCTATTCACTCGTGGGATCAGGGCAGTTCGGGGGGACCATCTCAGCTCCTCTCTTTTCGAGAATCCATACATTAGTGAAGTATTAATCATCTCGATTATAATAGAATACCCTCGTACGTATAATTAGTTTATTGTGAGAATCATATAATTTAGAATAAGACATGAATTTTGGAGAGTATTAAATATAAATATATACTATGGTCATGTGCATTTTGTCCTTGTGTTTCTATTTGACAATGCATAAGATCATGAACTCTTGGAAAATGGTGCCATTATTCTCTCATCCCCATCCACTAAATCATTTCATATCCCAATATTAGAAATGGGGAACAATACAAATCGTGACCAATAAATTTTCTCAATCAATGTAACATCCATTGATGTTAAATTTAAGAGGTCGGGAGAGAACTGTTTCATGTCGATATCCAACCACTGGTTCTTAAGTTCGTCATGTGGAGGTGAAAGTTTGAATTTTAGTTTTATTAGTCCGAGAGTATATGGTCTAAACTAATTGAGTTATACTCGAGTTGACATAAAATCTAACTACTTAAGGATATTCAAATCGTACCTGTTTAGTAAAACCCTAAACGGGTCGAATTCCATGCTCAAAATAACTCAGAAATAGTGAGAATTGAGATGCATAATATAACAGCTCAAGCCCACCGCTGACAGATATTGTCCTCCTTTAGCTTTCCCTTCAAGGGTTACTCCTCAAGGTTTTTAAGGAGAGGTTTCTTCGTTCCTCTCTCCAACTGACATGGGATCTCACAATCCGCCCTTCTTGGAGACCCAGTGTCCTTGCTGGCACACCGCTCGGTGACTGGCTCTGAAATCATTTGTAACAGCCCAAGTCTAGCGTTACTAGATATTAACCTCTTTGAGCTTTCCCTTCAAGGGTTACCCCTCAAGGATTTTAGGCAGAGGTTTCTTCATTCCCCTCTCCAACCGATGTGAGATCTCACAATTCACCCCTGATGGCCCAGCGTCCTTGCTGGCATACTTCCCGGTGACTGGCTCTGATATCATTTGTAACAGTCCAAGCCCAGTGTTACCATATATTATCCTCTTTGGACTTTCCCTTCAAGGGTTACCCCTCAAGGTTTTTAGGCAGAGGTTTCTTCGTTCCCCTCTCCAACCAATGTGAGATTTCACAATCCACCCCCTTAGAGGCCCAGTGTCCTTGCTGGCACACCGCTCGGCGACTAGCTCTAATATCATTTGTAACAACCCAAGTCCAGCATTACCAGATATTATCCTCTTTGAGCTTTCCCTTCTAGGGTTTCCCTAAAGGCTTTTAAGAAGAACTTTCTTCGTTCTTCTCTCCAACCGATATGAGATCCGACAATCCATCTCCTTTGGAGGCCCAACTTCCTTGCTAGCACACTGCCCAGTGATTAGCTTTGATACCATTTGTAACAGCTCAAGTCCACAGCTAGCAGATATTGTCTGCTTTAACCCGTTACACATCGTCATCAACCTCACGGTTTTAAAACGCATCTACTAAGAAGAGGTTTCCAAACCCTTATAAAGAATACTTCATTCCCCTCTCCAACCGATGTAGGATCTCACAAAGTCTAAAAAAGACGATATCTATTAGCGGTGAGCTTAAGTTGCTACTGTTCGAGATGGAGATAGAAGACAAGAGAAAATGATAAAAGTGAATGAATAAGACTCGTCTACTCTCACCATTAACCTAAAATTATTAGTTTCTTTCTTTCTCAAAGCTTGAAAGCTCCATTACACCATCTCCATCTTCTCCCCCCATCATTTTCTCCATTTTATTTGCTTACTTTTCAATGCTTTGCTGTTAAAACCCTAGAGCTAGCTAGGGTTTTGTGATGATCTTGCATGCCTTTAAAGTCATATAAATAGTCCTATTTTGATATCATTCAAGTTGCTATATGCTAGCTATTAAAAATTGACTACACATTACATTATGGTGCTTTCATTATTGTATCCCAATCAAATTTGATTTTGGTTTCTAGCGATTCGATTGGTTGATAGTGCCTTTATTAAAGTCACTTTAGTCAATCATTGGCGTTAAGGATAAAGATATATATAGTCAACAACCTTAGGTTGACTATTAAAGTTACATTAAAGTTACATTATAAGTATGATGTAAACGAGACTCGAAAAGAAAGAGGCCCCAAGTTCAATTAAGCCTAAGACTGACACTCCTCGGTTAACTAGCCCTGAAAAACTAATCAACCCATCGAGCTTAATGGGTTTTGGGTCAAGCCTCGAATTGTTCAGTGTGCCAATCATGAGCCTAGGGTCAACTACTTCTAAATCGATGAGGAAAGTCTTAGGTCAATTATATATAGAAATTTTGAACTTCTGGGGGTAATTCACGTTTACGAAAGAAAGCTCTCTAATTTAGCCTTTAAGCTTCGAAACGTCTGTGAGAAACAACACACCAATATGTAGACTGATCTTGCGAGAATTCAGCTCCGAATTTCTTTGTCGATCGCATACGAATCAAGTGGATTCGTTTCGTTAGTTTCAGATATCAACCTGTATGAGCGGGTTAGTTAATCGAGAGTTTAGTTGGAGGTTAAGAGTTAACTAGGGTTTAGTTCCCTTGGTTTTCAGGTTTCCTTCTAACATCATTGGACATTGACTTTATTGTAAAATATAACATATTGGGCTTGAATATTGGGCTTGATTTTCACCTTGGCCCATAACATATTGGGCTTGAATATTGGATCAGACATGTTAGTTAATGGGCCGAGACCATCCACGGCCCAAAATATTTCAAAAATATCTCTTCCAAAGCGTGAAAGCGCTATCCCCTTCCGAAAACCTCATCTTCTTCCTCGAAATTTTCGGTATCCGCTTCGTCTCTCTGTAATGCTAATGGCTGTCAATCTCTCCTTTTCTCCTCACTCTCTAATTCCATTTCAGAAGCCTTCGCTCTTACCACGCCATGAACTCGGTCGCTTTCTTCAGCTCAAATCAGTGAGTCGGATTTCGAATGTTCGCCTTCGTTCTGGCTCTCAATCGGGGGTTTTGGTTCGAGCCGGTTTGGATAGCGATTACTCGTCGAAGAGGAGCAGTAGCAATGAGGAAAGGGAGACGTTTATGTTGCCTGGTTGTGATTATAATCATTGGCTTATTGTCATGGAGTTTCCCAAAGATCCTGCTCCAACGAGGGAACAGATGATTGATACCTATCTCAACACTCTTGCTACTGTTTTGGGAAGGTTCTCTCTCAATCTCTCTCGCTTTTGCTCTCTCTATATGCATATGTTCGTTTTCGTTTCAAATGTTAGTATGAGGATTCCATTTGTGTTGAGGATTAAAGAATCTCTGCTACAGTATGTTTTTGTGTGTCTCTCGGCTGAAGTGTTTGGAAATTGATATATTAATCGATATGAGAGCGTCTTGTGTTGTGGTAAATATGCATTAGGTAACAGGTGGGAGTTTGGCGGGGTTTGGAATTTTATTTTTGAAATGGAATTAAGAACAATCAACTATCAGTTTGCTCGAGAGATTTTTGTGCTGTCTGTTTCTTTGTTCCCGGGGCTCTTCTTTGCTTCTTTTACTTGTAGAGCAGCTCCTATAATAAGAGAAATGATTGGTACCTTGCTCAGATTGGCAAAATGATTGGAAATTATAAGAGATTTGAACAATGGGGCGGTAATTTTACACAAGTTGATATATGTTTGAGAAATCACCAAATGCATCTTGAACCTACACTCAATATTATGCAGGGCATCACAAAATTAAAGGTTAGAAAGACCTTGGGCCTTTGGTTCTTAACCGCTCAAGCCTACCGCTAGCCGATATTGTCCTTTTTTGGTTTTTCCTTGAGGGGACTTCACCTCAAGGTTTTTAAAATGTATTTGCTAGGAAAAAGTTTCAACACCTTTATAAGTTAATGTTTTGTTCTCCTACCTAACCGACGTGGGATCTCAATATCCACCCTCTTCAGGACCTAGCGTTCTCGTTGGCATTCGTTATCTTCTCCAATCGATGTGGGACTCCCCAATCCACCCTCCTTCGGGGCCCAACATCCTTGCTGGCACACCGCCTCGTGTCCACCCCCTTCGAGACACAGCCTCTTGGTTGGCACATCGCCAGGTGTCTAGCTCTAATACCATTGTAATAGCCCAAGCCCACCACTAGTAGATATTGTCATCTTTGGGCTTTCCCTTTCGGGCTTCCCCTCGCTGTTAGAGAAATCCACACCCTTATAAACAATGTTTCGTTCTCCTCCCGACGTGGGATCTTACATAAAATTAGGTTTCCTTTTAAATATAGAATTCAGATTTACACCCCTAATAAATCAATTAGTTTTTAAAATTTTTGAACTTGTCATAGATTTATTAGCCACAAAATTGAAGTTTTAGGTAATTATTACACTTTTGATCGTTCAATAGACACAAACCTCGAACCTTAGGATCTATTATAGTTATAATTCAAAATTTCATGAATTGAACTTGTAATCCTTAAATCTTTACTTTATTAGCGTTCAGTGACTCTGAAGAACTTAGAGATATGAACGTTCTGGGATTTTAACAACTGGTTGGTCAAGGATATTTTGATCTCTCATGTGAAAATTTTCTTGGAAACAGCATGGAAGAAGCCAAGAAAAACATGTATGCTTTCAGCACCACCACCTACACTGGATTCCAATGCACAGTGTCCGAAGAAACATCCGAGAAATTTAAGGGTAAGTGTTAGTTTATGAATTTTTCTTGGAAGCCCTGTTCTAACAGCTTTGCTGAGAGATGCTATTTGAACCTCTCCATTGCAGGACTACCTGGAGTTCTTTGGGTGTTGCCAGATTCTTATATAGATGTCAAGAACAAAGATTATGGAGGTTTGGTTTATATCCTCTCTCCTTGTACGCCGTATGGCAACCTTTTTTGAAACATTTCCGGTTGTGTTGGGGTTTTCTACTAGCAGTTTTAATTCTAACCTCAGTTCTATTTATCGGTCTGAACAAGATACGACTTATTTGATTGAAATTAATTGAATGTACAATTAAAAAAAAAAAGAAACGTTTATAGATTAACTTAGTTTCATGTTGTTAACTTTTAGGTGACAAGTATATAAATGGGGAGATAATTCCATCCAAGTATCCTGTTTATGAACCCAAGAAACGAAGAGAAACCAAATATGAAAGTAGGAGATATGAAAGAAAACGGGATGGCCCTTCTCCTGAACAACGAAAGCCGAGACCACAAGCAACAACCAGAACGGAATCAAATTCAGGATAAGGTAATGTAGTGATTTTTCCTTCCAATATTTGTAGTGCTTGCATGGGAAAAGTAGAATGTTTTTGTTCATTTTCCTTTGCAATCCATTAGTGTATGACTTAAGATTGTGCTTTGAACTCTACTAAGAAGGATATGATGCAGAATTAAGAGGTAGTAATCCGCATACTTTCATATTGTTCTTGGAATTTTGTACATGCTGTCCTGTATGTAGTTCATTCATGTTCATCTGGAAAGGACTCTTGTATTGTGTTGTGACCTTGTAGCTTAGAATGTCATTGGAAAATATATGGTTTAGAACAGTGATTTCTTTTTATGAAGACTCTCTTAAACTACATCATTACAAAGGAATTTAGAGTAGTTTTGGTTGGTTGATTATGCCTAACCAAGTCCCCCGCTAGCAGATATTGTTTTCTTTGGGCTTTCTCTTTCAGACTTCCTCTCAAGATTTTTGAAACGCGTATGTTAGGGAGAGGTTTCCACGCCCTTATGAGAAATGCTTCGTTCCCCTTCCTAACCAATGTGGAATCTCACAATCCACTTCCCTTGGAGATCCAGCATCCTTGCTAGCACACCCCCTGGTGTCTGGCTCTGATACCATTTGTAACAGCTAAAGTCCACCGTTAGTTGGTATTGTTTCCACTTCCCTTGGGGACCTAGCGTCCTTGCTAGCACACCCCCTGGTCTCTGGCTCTGATACCATTTGTAACAGCTCAAGCCTACCACTAACAAATATTGTTTCCACCTCCTTTAGAGACCCAGCATCCTTGCTAGCACATTCCTTGGTGTCTTGTTCTAATACCATTTGTAACATTTGAAACCCACTACTGGCATATATTGTTTCTTTGGGTTTTCCCATTCAAGGTTTTTAAAACACGTATGCTAAGAAGAGATTTTCACACCCTTGTGAGGAATGTTTCATTCCCTTCCAACCAATGTGGGATCTCACTATACATTAATACGGTAAGTTTGTGGGAGTAAGCAAAGAGAGAAGTTAAATTTGGATTGATAATTAGCATCTTATCTACGAAATGCTCGGTAAAATCGAGCTTTATTCTTGATTTACTTATTTGACCTCCATAGGATCGAGGTTGAGATTACAGTTAAAAACTATCCATTGATGGATATTCTCTACTCTTTTGAAATCTAACTAACGGTGAATATAACACAATAATTCTCTGTTCAACCTGGCAGAAATAACAACTTCAGCAAAAATAATATAAACTTCACATTAACATTAAAGAGTGTTTATTATCATTATTGTTATTATTATTAATTCAACCATTAATGATTGCTTCAATAAGTTAAAAAAACAAAGTAGTTGCAATCATTGACACAATTAATGCATGTTTTATTTTTTGTAATTATTTTTTATAGAAAATGCATTTATATAATTTTTTTTTATGAGGAATTATTGCATAGGCTGTTTTTGTTTAATATCTAATAAAATTTTAATTTTTTTTAAAAAATATCGTATATATCTCGTATAATTTGACGTCTAAAAAAGTATTATTTTTACGTTAGGGTAAATTAAAAAAAGTGTTTGAAAGGCTATGCAATATAATCATATTGTATATAATTTGTCTATCTTATGCTAATATCCTTACAGACAGATTATCCAATCCCTTAATTATTCCTAATTGCTTTTTAATTACTTTTCTTAATTCTTAATTACAAGATTACTGTTGCCTCCTTTGGACCGGTCCAACTTCAATGCCTGCTAAAATCACCCTCTCGGTGTCGGAATGGCAGGTGCCATTCAATTGTTTGGTCCACGTGCGTTAAATCAGTTCGCTATTGTCACTGTCACCCGTTCCCATCAGGTAACGTTATATTATTACTCCCCTCGAATTATTATTATTATTATTTTATCGTAGGCGCGTGACTCAACAGTGGCGTATAATTGTAATTAACGATGTTTATGATGTCTAGTTTTGGAATTTCACACACCGGAAATTATCCCGGGACTGGGGATTGGCCAATACCAAATCCTATGTTTCACGAGATTTTTATAAGAATCTGTTGTGAGGTGCATTTACCGTTTTGCCCCTTTCTTTTTATTTTTAATTTTGTAATGCGACAACGTTTTGCCGTTCGTCTCCCCCTGTCTTTTCCTCTGCCAGATGTGGCGTTTTTTTTTTTTTTTTTTTTTTTTTTTTTTTTTTTTTTTTTTTTTTTTTTTTTTTTTTTTTTTTTTTTTTTTTTTTTTTT